GCAGAGACCGACCTCGCGACCTGGCTAGTCTGAGAGGGCTTTCGCGCTGGCGGGGGAGGGCGGGGGATTCCTCCGTCGTGGGTCCCAGGCCCCCCGGATCTGCTTCACGAGCAGGATCGTGTTGAAGATCACCAGCCCGACCAGCAGGCCCACGATCAGCAGGCGCTCGCAGAAGGGCTCCTTGACCGTCCGCAGCGCAACCAGCACCATCCACGGGTGCACCCCAAACCGAATCCCAAAGTAGGTGAGCCAAAAGACCGCCTCGTTGAAGGCGCGTAGGGCCCTGCGGCCGGCCGTCTCTCCCGCGAGCCAGCTCGCGCAGTGGCGGCGCGCGACGAGGATGATCGTATTAACCTCAACCACGGTGACGTTGGCTGTGAAGATGGCGTTGGCCGGAATGCGCAGCGGGTGGGAGAGCAGCGCCATCACGAAGGAGTGGTGTGCGAGGACGAGGCTCGGCTGCGGCACTGCCGCGGGGTAGCACCAGATGTACACCGCGTCGGCCGCCATGTAGACGCTGAACAGGACGGTGTACAAGTACGGGTCCGTCGCGTCGGCAAAGACAGCACAGTTCAGCAGCATCAGAAGAGGGAGGGTGGCGAGGTTGAAGACGTCGTGGCGCACGAGTCGAACCGGGTCCACGGAAGGCAGCCCCTTCGCCTTGCGCGCCGCTGGCACCGCCTTGCCACGCCGCCACCCAAGCACCGCACCGGTGAACGACAGAGCAAGCGTGAGCACCGGGGCGGTGTTGCTGTAGAGAGAATGCATTCCCGGCGTCGCCACCGATTCCGCGCACAGCGCACAGAATACGCACGGTGGCCACGCCTGTATTCGCCGGCTTCCACTCTCGGCCCACCGCTCCGCGCTCCGCGGAGCCGCACAAGTCGTTTGAGGGGATCGCTACTTTACGTGGATTCGCCAAGTTTCGCCGAAAATTTCAGCTGTGAAGGACTGGGTGGGGGACCTTGGGTCGGAGGTGCCTTGAGCACTTGAGCAGTGCGGATAGGATCGATTCCGTATGGTACGGGACCCCTCGATCGTCTCGCCCTCCCTCGCTGAGAGTGGAGTGTGTTCATTGGGGGGGTCACATAAATAACAAACAGGTGCACGCTGCTGAAGTAGTGTCCTCCCCCCCTCTCATCGTCTCGCCCGCTGCGGCTGCGCTGCCCGG